TTGTAGGTTTTATGTTAATTGATAGTGGTCTGGAGAGGAGAAAGAACAAAATTTGTAGGCAACATGCATTAATTAGGTAATTTAAGACCAGGAAGAGCTATAAAAAACTAATGTATATAGGTGTGGAATAGGATGGTAGTTGAAGGCAGTGTTGATAAATGTGCTGGGGGAAGGAAAATGAATTGCTCGTATGTTTTGCAAGGTTCTAAAGAAGCTTCAGGAAAGGGGTGTGGGCATTCCTCAGGAAGCTCACCAAAGAAGGGTGGAAACAGCAAGAAATGGAAATGACAGTAATATGGAAATAATACAATGCTGTTAAGTAATAAAATGGCAATTCCTCTTGATAGTTCCACTTATCTCGAGCAGAATTAATAAAGAACTTGGAAAAGGTCAGAAAAATATAAAGGATATTATGAATAGCATGGGAAACTCCTTTCTGGAAAAAGTATTTAGACCAGGCAGTAGGTTGAGCCCCAAATGATAGTAATAGAAGTTTATGAACAAAACGAATATGCGCATTTTAAGAATTGTTGCCAAATAATGAGCATTGAAGGAAAATAAAACTTACATTACAGACTGAAATCATGCCTTTCTGAGAGGTTAGTCTGTAATCCTTGAGGAGGAAAGAAGAAATATTTCCCTCTATAGCTAACTCTTTTTTCTCCTTTTCCTTTTTTAATGTGCCTGGTTATGAGTGTTGTGAAAATGGGATACTAAAGTAGGTGGACCATAGATGTGTCCAAGAGTGGCTTCATCTCTGTTGCTAACTACATCTTCACCAAGAAATATCGTTAATATTCAGTGATGTGTATAATGGCAAGCTGCGAGAATGTTTTCTTCAAAAGTAATGCTTTGCATTACTTTTCCTCTGATTTTTTTTTTATGATATTACTTCTTCTTCATATCTGTTAGTATTAGGTATCTTCACACCTTCATACCTTTTAGGTGGTAATTTTTACTCCTATTAGTAGAATCTATATTTCTGGGGAAGAGAAATGTGAAACTTGTGTATATTCCTATTTTTCCAGAGTCAAAAATATTTGGAGTGTCAGAATTAATTTAATGAAAGCTGGGGGAAAATTCCTCCTGCACAGGAAAGAATGCATTACTTCAAAGGCTTGGATCCAAACCTGTGCAGTATACTTAATATCATAGGAACTTATCACTATCACTGGTTTCTTTTCTTTTTTTTCTTTCTTTTTTTTTTCTTTTCTTTTTTCAATCTCTAAATATAGTAAAATAATTTTCAGCCCATTGCCATTAGTAAAGACTTACAAAGCTGGCCTTTGTACTGATTGATAGTGATTGCCTCTGGTGTTTTGGGGCATGCTAGGCTGTCTATTAACTTTTCTTACTTCTTGGAAGGTTTTGGCATGTGGACATTTGCTGAAAGTAAAACTGAATGTCATTCATGATAACACTTAAGTAACTAGGAACGCTAGGAATTGGTGTGCCCTTTATGTGGGGGTCTTAGTTTCATTCCATTATTCTCACTTCATTTATTTTCAATATTATACCTGTGATGGAATAGATCTTTCCTTTATAGTAGTGCAAAACCTCTGGGTTATTTATCTTCATGGAATTTTAAATAAGAATGCCAAAGGAGTTCACCTTTGCTTCAGAGTTTGAGGGCCACAGAAAATACAGTAGCTCAGAAGGCTTCAGGAGCATGTGTTTTTCAGGTATTTAGCACTGGAAAGCAGTCTTGGAGAAAAAAAGGGGGAAAAAAAAAAAACGTTCTCTCAAAAGAGGTGAAAGACAGGAGAACTGAACTATCAATCCTGGAATGGAATTACTACAGAGAAATAACCTAAGCTTTTTGAGTGCTGTAAAATGATGTGCCCCTTTGGTTTGAACAGCATAGGCACAATGTGTATGTACTCAACCAGATGTCCTTAGGCCAGATTATACAATCATACAACAAATAAGTAGGTAGTCGGTGTTGTTATCTGACCAAAAATGTTAATTCTGACATATGTTTTGGATGTAACAGAGGAAAAACACTGTGATGCTTTAAATCAGCCTTTAGTGAACAGTGTTGCATGATAGACTCGTACCCCTATTATATCTATCCTTTTGTTGTTAAATAAATACTTAAAAGAAAACAAATGTGGAGCATGTTAGTATAATTAAGGTCTGGAGGAAGCCCATTGATCCCTATTTGAAACTGCTGATAATTTAGCTTTACATCATTGCAGGATTGCTTCAGACAATCAGATGGAAATATAAGTCAACTCAGTTCTTTCCCCTATGGCTTTGGTTTTTGCATTTCCGGACAACACGTGTACTATATTTTTGTTATGTTACTGACTGCCGAGGATGAAATCAGTGGGGAGAGTATGAAAGCAGTGAGAGAGGGAGGAGACATGCTGTTCATTCCTCAGAATGTGAAGCACGGAGTTTAAACCACATGCTTTTTATTTGTTCTTAGGTTTTCTAAGAAAACAACGAACAAATGGCTGCAGCTCTTTGAAGGTAGTGGGGTTCCATATGGTCCAATCAACAGCATGCAGCAAGTATTCTCGGATCCTCAGGTTTGCTCTCACCAAGCCTTTTCTATATATTATTACAAGTGTTTTACAAATACTGAATAATGGTCACTTTTCCTCCCATAATATAGTATAATAATGACATTACACATCCTCAAATTACTTATATGTTTGGGAACACATGTGCCACAGTGTACTAAAGCATAGGTGTTCATGTCCTCTGTGGAATCTGTCCTTCAGCAGTGGCTAGGAAAACAAGGAAAGAAAATGACATACTGTTAAGCAAATCTGTCAGATAAATGTTCAGAAAAGTAACCTTCTTATTCTTTCCGAGGAATCATTTTTCCTTTTACTTTTCTATAGAATATGGATAACCAGAATCTATGCTGCTCGGGGCGGGGGGGGCGCTAAATTTTGAATGGAAGCATGAAAATGAAACAAAAAATCTGATGAAGAAAGATTTTAGTCTTTTCTTGGACTAGTGGTTTCCTGCAGTGAGAGTAATTCAGCTTTTGTAAATATTTTACTGAATTCCATCTATACTTAAAGGAAATTCTTACTTTCTAGCATTTGTAGAGTTGTAACACCTGCATGTTTGGTGATCTTTCCCCTTTTCCCTACCCTCTGTCTTATGTTGTGTTGATGATTCTAACAGAAATTCAATGTAATAGTATTTTAGAGTTATTCTACTGTGCATTGAAGCTTCTTTAAAATAATTTCTAATAACGCAAGTAGCCTTTTCAACAAGGACAGTGCATTTTTTTTAGTGCAAGCCTATATCTGAAGTTCTACTCATAAGTGGGTCTCATGAAGAAACAAAAGACCCAGGAAGGAAAAAAAATTCTGATTCATTTCAGTGACATCCCCTCTTCCCTGCCCTTGCCACCTGCTTTCCACCCCACCCGAAAAACAAACAAACAAACAAACAAACAAAAAAAACAACAAAAAGCGTATCATTCAAGAGATTTAATATTAAAACAAATGCCAATCTTGTATGTGTCCATATATATTGTCTGGAAGCATCTGTCAGGAGCGTGAATATGGTTATAGCTTTTTGGAAAGAATAGCAAGCAAACATTCTTCTGTCATAGAGATTTATTATACTTTAAGGGATGTTTATGTGGCTACCACAGTGACAGACTGGAAGTTCCCTCTTCTCAGATTAATTCACTCTTTCTGCTTGAAATGAGATAGCACCATGCTATAGAGGGTGCTTGGGCCAACATTCTCACTTCATAATTTTACAGGGATTAAGTTTTGAGTTTTGAAGAACATACAGCAGGAGTCTTGACTTTACCTAGTTGGCTTTACTTGGTTGTCTGATTATATTTGGAGCAACACTGAAAAAAACATCCTGTGTTTCTTTTGATGCTCCTTCATATTTAAAAAAAAAAAAAAAAAAGCGTATCATTTTTAAAGGGCCCTTTAAATCCCTGTTATGGATGGCAATTGCATCCTAAATTGAAAAAAGCATTAGCTTTGTGACCTTGTTCATCCTACATTTTAAGTAATATGGCAGAATTAGCCTATCCAATATTTTAAGATATTTTCTCAGAAAGGATAATACTGATCTTTAATTTTTCTGATGAAACTACTTGCATTTTTACACCCTGCTCTAAAATAAGTGGCACTCTGTCACATTCTTATTACTATTGGAAGCTAAAAGTCAGCATTTGTGGTGATGTTGAGTATTATGGATTTATTTCCTTTTTGGTGCTCTCTGCTTTGTTTAGCATTTTCTCACAGTTATCATCCTATTGAAAGAATTGTTTTTTCTCTTCAGTCTTGAAAAATGGGAAGGGGTTAACCTTGTGAGGGATAGCTGTGACGTCAAGCTATTTACAGCACCAATGTGTGTTTAGGAGAAATGTCACTTAACTTGTGTTTAATAATCTTAGTTACTAATACTCTGTAACAATAAATGTTGAGAGTGTGATTTCAAATGAGTTTATTGTATCCAGTAATCTGCTTTTAAGTAAATTTGCTTTCAACTACTGCATAGGCTCCAGAAAAATACCAAACCTGATGAACTTCAGTGTAGATAAACTAATCTACCTCTAATGCAGTAGGCTTAGATTTTGTAACCTAGTCGGATACTTCCCATTTTGTGTGTTATGAGCTTAGAAAATCCTCCAGAATACATAACTAAGAGATTTGAATCTTAAGACAATTCCATTGACTTTCATGACCATTGTCTTCCTAATAATTTACAGATTTTGGCAGCTGTAAAGCAAGAATCATTCATTTTATATGCACAGGCATACATACATATTTATGCAGGCTCACATCACTGGTGACCAAGATACGCTGTGAATATGTCAACAATCATCAAAGTATGTGCCAGTATTGCTGTCAGTAATGCTGCAATAAGCTTTCTGGTGCAGTGGGAAGTTACCGGCCAAAGACCAAAATATTGGGAAGCGTAGGGCAGGAAGGGAAGCAACTCTAAGGAGACAGGAAAGAGAAGCTGAAAGAGAGAACTGATGTGGTATAATGGAATTTAATCAGCTGAAGGTGGGTTGTTTTTTCTTCAAATGTTATTTTATTTTAACTAAATGAACGCTGGGACTCTGAAGGCCAAGCGTGGTTTGTACAGCTTTTTTTAGACTGAGATAAAACAACACATTTTTTGATCCCAGGACATTTTGTTAATATCATTAACTGCTTCAGTTGTACTCCAACGGAGCTGCCAAAAAACATGAATTTTTTTTACTAAGTTAGAGTGCCAGGTGATACTGTTTTTTCCATGAATGGAGTGAAATATCCATTTTTCCCAACTGATTATAATCTTTTATTCATTTGTGAGGTTAAAATGAATACCAGTGCCACTTGTACTGCTAACTCAATCAGTCTGTGCATACAAATATTTGCCTGTGTGCTTGAGCAGGTATGCTCAAAAGGGCTGAGAGAAACAGGGGCAGATACAGTAGCCAAGGGGGCAATTTTCTTAACATGAAAACAGAGGACAGAACGTTTGTGGAAGTTCTTATGAGCTCTTAGTATGCAGTATAGACTGTTTTCATGAAACTTTTTACAGTCAAACTTTTTCAAACTCTATTTTAGAAATCTGTTCTTTTAACTAGGCCAATATTGTACAAAACATTAAAGGAATTCTTAAAAAGTTTTAAAAACTTACTAGTGACCTCAGTATGGTCCTATTTAACATACTCTTGGGAACATGAGTATGAAATGCAATGTGGTTTGAGGTTTTCCAAACAAAACAAACTTAAAAGAGAATACCATTTTTAATAGAAACTATTCAAATTCTCCCAAAAGATAAGACAAAACAACAACAGGTACGTGCTGTACTGCAGCTAACTATGAAAGAACAAAGATCTTTGTTGGTTAAGCAAGAAGAATATTATTGTTGTTATTATTATTATTATTAATAATGTCCTTCCCTCTTTCCCAGTGTAACTTCTTTCATGGTCCTTTTACAGTATCACTAAGTCCATCAAATAGCTGGTACTAAAGAAACAACTAAATAACCAGACGTATTAATGGCAGTTTACTCAAATGTTAGTTTAATGTTTTGCCAAATTAAAGTCATACTCATTGATGAATTTTGCTATATGGATGCTGCCAGCTGAAAGTAAAAATGAAAGCCCTGACATGGTACCTTTTTTCTGTTTCCTTTTTTTTTTCTTTTTTTTTTTTCTTTCTTTTTTCTTTTAACAGAGCAGTTACAGTCATACCACACAAGTTGAGTACATCAGGTGTAAGACATCACCCCGATGCATCACTTCTGAGAAATATGGGGAGGGAAATATCAGAGCTGAAATATCACAGCTGGCCCTGATTTCAGCTCCTGCCAAACACCTGCAGACTCTAAAAGGATACCAAAACAAAACTCCACCCTATGGCAAGAGGCCATCCCTTAACAACCCTTCCCTGACTTTGCATCACTATAAAAATTAATTTAACATTTTTTACAGAAACCTTAGTCTTCCTGTCCCAGAAGGACATTACAGTTCCTTTAGCTGTTGCTCAGAATATGCCTCAGAAAGAAACAGAAATTTGAAGTATTAAAATATCTGATAGCTGGAAATTATCTGATGTTTTCAGTTTATTATTTGTGGAAACTTATGAAGCTGGTAATTTTTTATTAACCTCCAGATCATCTCTTATTCTGTAAGTCATTTCATTTGAGCACAACCTGGCAAAAATTTTGTAGCATCTGGTAAAAGCTTCTGCAATGAGTGTTGTGAACATAGAAAACAGCAAAAGAAATAAAGTAATTTTTTATTTCTATTTTTTTAGACAGCCTCTGATGTTTTTGTTTTTTTTTTTTTTTTTAATTTGGTGATGCATTTTATGGGCAACGTCTTTAATTGCTTTAGCTATTCTTTGTTGAAATAGACTTTTGTGACCCACTGAGGGCAGTCCAAGTTGAGTAAGATTATATTCATGGCCATAATACTGTAGGGAGTGTTTTTTTACATACAGAGGTTTCAGCAACTGAAAAGCAGTTGATGAAGGCCTGAGGTAATACAATGTGTCTGGAAGCAATTCCTAGCAGACAAGAGAAAAAAAAGAATTAAATTTTGCATGTGTCTCTTAAGTCAGTATTAGAGCTGGTTGGAAATCTTCCGGTGGAATGTTTTTCCATTGAAAAATGCCAGTTCATTGAAAGTGAAACATTCACAGGAAGGTGTCTAAAATATTTTTTTATTTTGAAACAGAAATTGAGCTCCACTCCATGCTGTTTTGCTAAGCTGAAAATGTCCAATATGTACTTCTGACTTGATGTTTCTAGCCAATCTTTTACTTCAATTTATATATTTTATGTAATGGAAAAAACAAAACATCGCATACCCAGCCCTTTAATTTTGTCAAAAGTGGTTCTTTCATACTAAATTACAAATGCTTTCAAGCTTCTGGTTTGTGGGGAAATTAGAAGTAGATTCTGTCCTGAAGTGGAAAGCATTCAATGGTGGAACGCAGTTTGAAGAAGTAAAATGGAAAATCCAGTTCTAAGACTGTTTGTAGTATGATTCCCACATATACACAAATACGCAGACTTTTATTTGTTATGAGATAGTTCT